TCATATTTCAAAACAGTGTGGCAGAATGGCACAGGTATTCAAAAGCATGTATCCATCATGGAAACAGAAGTGATAAGATTTGAGGTGTGGCCAGTGCAATCAGCTAAAATGAGATGCCACCGATACATCAATTACAGCAGAATGTCAACTGCAGTTACCAATCTAACTGGGACACAATTCAAGGGTCTCAGGAGCTTGAATCCTACGCTGCCACATGGTATCTATGTCCTGGCAGGCTAAGTCTGCCCAATCCCCCCCAAACAGCTGACGAGGAGGATCACTCTGCAAGCAACATGCCATGATACTCAAGCAGTGTGCAAGCCTTAAAGTTGAGGTCTTATCGGCGCGGGTGCGAATGCTTTTACCGATTGCTTATCGATAATCGGTATTCATGTGCGAACGTCGCGCAGATTAGAAATTTGCGAATTCTCGACGATCGCAGTTAGTCGAGAATTACGGTTCTCTGCTAACGAGAACCTTAACCCACTTCTGCGGCTATGATAGCCGCAGACTCGCGACAGCATCTTCATTCTGTCGCTCTGCAAGATTCGATTTCTTCACAGCGCAAGGAGGACGGCGCCTCCTTGCTTCTGCTCAAGCTTCGTGTATCTCCTTACGCAAAGCTGCTTTCTTCTTGTTTTTTGCTTCATCTTCAGTCACCATTAATGGCTATCTGCTTTGCCAGATCCGATCCTATAAGCCTGAGAGCTTCTAGTCACTTCGCCTTTCAGGTTTCAGCAATCTAGTTTCGAGCTTCTTCAATTCTCCTACTTTGCTGCAGTTTCTAAGCTTGCGCAAGCCTCCTGCACCATCTTGTTCAGCCGATCTTCAACCCATGCACGATGGCTGGACCGAAACACAATGGTGGTGCTGAGATCCGAGTCTCAGGTGTCTCTGCAGAAGATCTTGCCAAGCAAACCAGGGAAGCAAATCTACGACATGAAGCGCTTCTTTCAAAGATCTCTCAACAACTGGATCAACAAGCAACTCAGCAAGCTGCGTGACCTGGCCAAGCAAGCCGAGAAGATTGATCAGCTGCAGTCTCAACTTCAAGCCCGAGTTCTTCCGAAGAGGTCTGACAAGATCACCAATCCTGAGGTGAAGGGTCACTTCAACCCCTGGAGAAGGCGCAGGAAGTCATAGCTCAGGCCAAGTCTGTTCTCGAGGATCATCTGGACGGTTCATCCCTACTCTCTCAGTTGACCGAGGATCAGGTGGCTTCGCTGAAAAACCACTGTGATGAAGGTGAGGGAGTTATCTCAGCTCGCATGCAGTTCCTCGAAGATTGGGATTCTGAAGGTTTGGAGGTCGCCTCTGAGATGTTGAGACTGCGAGAGGAAGCTTCTAAGGATCCGGCAGAGATTTCTTTGGTTTCCCGCGTGAAGAAGGCCCTAATTGAGAAGAGAAAGGCAGCATAAGAGACATCCAAACCTTCGAAGGAACACAAAACCCAGCCTTTCCAAAACCTTGGTCGTGGTGGCTATGCCGGTCGTGGTCGCTCTCCCTCCCCTTCTCCTCAGGCGTGGTTCCATCCCCCTCAGCCAGTTTTGATGCCTCCCCCCATGGCTTTAGCACCCCAGGCTAGTGTGGTCTCTCCAGCGGTTTACCAGTCACAGTACTTGCCCTAGTTGCGTCGCTCTCCCTCCCCTGGCCTTCCACCCCCGATTCCCCAGACCGTTGACCCTGCTCCCCGTGGTCCTTCCGTTCCTGGTGTCCGCGGTTCTGGCAGTGCAGGCTTACAGTGTTGGTCGTGTCAGCAGTGGGGACATGTAGCGGCAGCTTGCCCTAGCACAGCGAACATAGCAGCTAATGCAAGCCGTGGTTACTTTTAGCTGCTGTAGCATTTGCTGGTCAGATAGCAAGCAC